AATAATAATAATAATAAGAATAATAATAATAATAATAATAATAATAATAATAATAGTAATAATAATAATAATAATAATAATGATAATAATAAGTGAATGTTATTTATAGCTAGAAATACGCACATGTCCCCCAAACAGGCATGTGTCCTTTTTAGCAACTGACGGTAGTGGAAAGTTCAATTAATGGTGTAACCGTAGTCGTAAAGTTTAAATCACGTATTACTCAGGAGATTATTTTACTTTGCCATTGTAGGTTTGTAATTTACCTTTGTACGTTTATTTATAGCTGTAACAGTATGACGTAGAGTAGCGGATAAACAATTAACGTAGGGTGCATAGATGATAATCATAATTAGATGTAAACGTCCGTACACAATTCAATTCAATTCTTTTATTTCATTTAATATCCAAATAATACAAAAAACAAGGCAAGAGAAAAAAGATTAATTATCTGATTGAAGAAAAAAATTGCGAACCTCTTTGAAACATTAAAACGACTAGGCCTAAGTGTACAGCAGATCTGTCCACCAAGAATTCAATTTGGAAAACCTCAGCACATATTTACATAAAATGGAAACGAGCATGTTTTTCTGCTGGAGAGCCGTCGCTTACGAAAACTAAAAATTGAGCTTAGAAATTCGAAAAAAGACGGAATGCCATAATTAACAAACATCGCTGGCGCTACAATATCTTTGCAACTTTTAACAACATTCTGAGCGAGTTATTATAGCAAACTTGCAGGGATGTAAGATTTGTTTTCTTATGATTAGCCAAGAGAGCAGAATAATACATGCCTACTTATACAAGAAGATCTGAATAGTCTCCAATTTGAAATTTTCAGAGCAAAAAGAAAATGCTGAGACCCGTTTATGAGTTTCATGACGACCCTCATTTCATTATTTTATTGTAGGCTTGACTCATACCTGTTGACGCTTGCAGAACACAATCAGAATTTTGGAGGAAAGGGGAAGGGCATCGTTTTGAAAAAAAAAAAGTTCGCGTATTAATCTCGAAAGCTCCGATTAAGGCAGTATAATAGAAGCAGTAGAGTATGATGGGCTTAACGGCCGCCCATACAAATAAACATATTACGGTAATCAATAACGGCTGCTCATACAAAAAGAGATTTATTAATCAGCCGAGTGTTTCTAGAACTTCTCATCGGAACTAAAAACGTTTTAGAGGGGATGGGGTTCAACAAAATATACTTCTTTCCCATTTAACTTTCCATTTGTATTCGTAACGGAGATCAAGTTTTGAGTATTGGGCCTGAATTTTGGTCCAGTTGATTTTCATTGGTTGGGCTGCGATTAAGATAGGGACCGGCTCCGTCCCTTATGGACACGCTCCATATTATCTTTCTTCATCCATCTTAAAACAAAATATTTATGCTGCACAAGACATTCGAACTCTTTCAGATTATCTGTTCCTAGAATGCTATGTCCGTACTGGCAAACGTTCTTTTTCGTTTTCCGCTCCAAATGGAACTCTCTTCCACCTAAACTTCGGTTAACTACTGATACTGATGCATTCAAGACTCTCATTAAAACGTATCTCTTTAAACAATAATTCTTATTTAAATCTTTATGCGTCAAGTGGCAAATAATATTTTTCTAACAGGCGCTATACAAAGTTTTCCAATTTATTTATCGTAAATTTATTATAGGCCTGTATATTGTTGCCGGTCACAAAATTACAGTGTAAACGTACTTATGTATTACTTATGAGACATACGCGTATTCATTGGCCTTTTTGGATGTCAGTTGTTAGGGCAGGTTTAACAAACATTTCGCGGGGGCATGCATCCGGATTCCCTGGAATTGACCCTCCTTTGGAACTCTGAATCCGCCCCTGGTTGTTAAAGATTGACATTTCGGAATGACAATGCTGAAGTCTCTGGTTCATACGTGGTTTAACCATGGTTCAACCGACCGTGAACAACGTGAGAGAATCAGCACGTTATAATATAATATTACATACGAGAAGATTCCTCGTCTCCATTGACACAACTATAGAGATATATTAATAACTCCACAACACAACTGAGCAGTTGTAACACGATAGGCAAGGTAATGTAGGACTCTCAGGAAAATACTTCTGATTAAAATAACTTGATGTTTCCAGGATACGGTGGCATGTGATGCTGTGTCTGTTCGTGTGATATATATTTTAAGTGTTCACACGTGTCATTTATGTTACACTGCTGTGCTATGTCAACCATGGATACAAATATGGCCCTTACGCGATGTGACGATGATAGGCCTGAGTCATGAATGTAGGCTGAGGATGAATGATACCGTAATGGGTTGGGGTTCGGTGTATATAAGGGTATTGGCATTGACATGATGGTAGGGGGAGCAAAGTTAGGTGGGAATTTGGTGATTAAGTGAGGTTGACGCGATTTTTAACTATTCAGCAAATTTCCAGTGAAGGTAGGGGACCCAGGGGGCGCAAGCTACTGTATTTCTTTGGAGCCCCCGTACGCCCTGTTTGAACACCCTCATGTTGGGTTCTCGGAATGATATACACCACTATAGCCTAATATCCAAGTTTGAAAACAAAAGAACCTCACAAATTTTATAACAACACAGTAGAATATTAATAAGGCAGGCCAAGTGAATTTAAACTATACTAATTTACCAATTACTGTAGCCCATTCACGGTGAAAGCTCAATCAATACAATCATCGTGATTGGGTATTGCTTTCATACGTGAGATATGTGTGTTATAACACATGACGAGACCTCCCCCCCCCCGGGTCATTAGATTAGATTAGATTGAGGGACTATTCCATCATAGACCCTATAGGTTTGCAACCAGTTATCTGCTCCACAGACCTATACCATACTCCTGGATGAGTGATATCATGGGTTATATTGACGTGCCTTGTCGAGGCACAACATCTGACAGTCTTTAGGGCTATTAATGGCGCTACGCGGGTAGCACCTGAATGAAAGGAAGGGGAACGCGAGCAAAACTTTTCTGACGGAGGAGGAGTATTCTCACAGAATACACCAGTTCGCCGTCCCTCCCCCAACTTCCAATATCACTGCAATCTTGTGTTCGAACCTATTTTCTGCCCACTGGGACCCTACTCCCCAGAGCATCCTCGCCTGCTAATCTTTGGTAGACTGATACATTACAGCATTTATAGACTCATTTTTTGATGTCATATTTTCATCATCAATCCGTTTGGTGACGTACCGGATCTCATTCTAAACGTCGCAATCGACAGTACTGTATTGTGGTAGTGTATTGTACCTTGTCGTACTGTATTAAATTACCATCACTATTAAAATTTGCTCCTTCGACACGATACGATTTAGAATTGTATATTAAACAGGTCAGTTTTGTCGCGCAGCTATTAAGGCTTATCATGTACACATTATCATCTGTTTATCTATTGTCACTCAATATCAGATCATGCGGTTCAATATTTCAAATCAAAAATATTATCTTTAATTAAACGTCAATTCACCTAATATAGAATAACGTATAGCTAATTAACATCAATTTCCAATGTTTATAATCATTTACGAACATCAATGCCATGTTGTTGACGTCGTACTATTCTATATTTTAGAGGTTGTATACATTAACCTGTTTCTGTTAAACACTTAATTAGTTAATTGGTTACGAATACTTATGTTGACTTACCGTATCTGACTTAATAAGAAATATTATCATGCATTAAGCGGATCACAGTCATGTTTAATCTCATAGGAGATGTCGTCATAATTATTTTTGGATCATAATTTGTCCTTGTTAAATTGAAACATCCAGAGGTTTCAACTGAGGGGTGGCGCCAGAGTGGGGAAGGAAAACACAATCTGTCGGTTAGAAAAAAAATCATTTGGACTCTAAAATAAATTATACAGTATAAGCATTTGAAACCCTTTTCTGAATATCACTTTAACATCCTTAAAATATCTATTATCTTTGATATTTTTCTGGTCTATGTTTTGATTGTTAAATTCCATCCCCGAAACCTTGACTCAGAAATACCGGGATGGTGTCCTACGGGGGATAGATTTTACCATTTTGTATTTAAGTTTTGTAGTTAAGCCTAACCCTGTAATTCTTGGCCCCGAATCCTCAGAAATGCGGGGTTTTACTATTTGTATTTTACATTGTATCTGTATGTTTTGGTTGCCTTCTTGTTCGTTGTTTATTGTATAGTATTATTGCAGGACCATTATTATTGTAAAACAGCGTTTAAGATGTCGTCTGTATATGTTATCCTGCCTAAATATGTGAAATAAAAATAAGTGAAATAAAAATAAATTGTTATAATTTAGAGGTTATTTGTGTAGAGATTTTGATCGACGCACTTACGCTCTCGTCAGGGACATCAGTGTCCGTCGGGGAGATTGGACCCCTGTTTCAACTTTGAAATTCGACGCCCGAGAAAGGGAGAGTGGAGCTCAGTTCTGCTCCCTCAGATACGTGTATGGCCTAGGCCTGTCTGTGATTATCCATTGTGTTGGTATTAGGCTGTCGTTGTAGGTGTATTTACTCACTCACTCACTTGTAATTAGTACCTTTGTGACAGTAACTCAATATTGAACAAGTACTCTCGAAATGTTTGAGTGCCATTTGAAGTATGAACTTTGACACATTAGTGGGGCGGGGGCATCCGTTTTTAGGCAATAACGGCGTGTCACTTGTGTACACACGGACCAATAGCATTATTCCATTTCTTTAACATAGAATTAGATAAATAAAAATAAAATTAAGATTAATTATATTATAAATAGATCGATATTTATCTAGATAAATATGTATTCAAAATTTATAAAAAACAAAATTACATACCACTCGTTCTGTTGAAATCATTAGAGATACATGTTGTGTCATGAGGTGTTGACAATTGACGGAGAGAGTCTAACAGAAGCGAAGCATTTTTAATTGATTAAATGAATTGCAAATTGTTGTTAAATTGCTACAAAGTATTCTGACCCTCAATCTTTCTTATGTGTTTTTTTTTTTTTTTTTTGCAGATTGTCCCATTATCTTCTTCTGTTGATGATTACGACCCAGATGTGGTAAGAAACTTCGTTGCTTAACATTAATGAAACGTCCAGGTCTTACCAAACGTTCATTCCAACAC